GGGCACAGTATGCACTGTGAGCCCGACACAGAAGCTAGCAGCAGTGGCAGACAACTGACTGCTATTCAATCTATAACAGTGAAAAAAGTTTTTTGTTTTTAAATCCAAGCTATTGTGACACCAGATGTAATTGGTGGCACTGACTGGGGAAATGGGCACTGTGAGCCTGACACAGAAGCTGGCAGCAGTGGCAGACAACTAAGTGCATTTACATTACATATAAAAAAAAAATCAAAAAAAAGCATACCCTTATCCCTAACCTAGCTATGCTTTTCCCTATCTTATGAACAGCAGCTACACTTTCCCTCCTCTTACTAAGCATGCAGCTTGAGAATGAATCTAAAATGGATGCTGTCCAGTAGGTGGGAGGGTCTGCTAGGGAGGCTGTGCTGCTAATTGGCTGGAATGTGTCTGCTGACTGTGAGGTACAGGGTCAAAGTTTACTCAATGATGACGAATAGGGGGCGGGTCGAACCGCGCATATGTTCGCCCGCCGTGGCGAACGCGAACATGCTATGTTCGCCAGGAACCGTTCGCCAGCGAACCGTTCGGTACATCACTACCCCTCTATAGGCCCAACCACTGTAAGATTATCTTTACATGTAACGTCAGGTGATTGTTCCTTTACTTTTAATGTTATTATGATATTCTCTGAATCTTCTGAACTCCTTTTCTCCTTATTACCCTCTACTGGAGTACTCTGATGTACTATTTTATTATTATTCTTCATCATGACATTCCCTTTTTCTAAGCTATACAGTATATACATAAAAAACGATACACATAACCACCACATCACGACTGCTGTTTTCTTGCACTTCATATTCCTTATGTGGGCTGCTCTTCCAGGGATCCACTCCATCTCCTATTATCTGGAAAAGAGAACTAAGAGAATATGTTAACATTTACATTAACTTGGCACATAATTTTTTCCTCTAAAGGCTTTTATTTGACATGCATGTGTCCATCTAAAGTTCGCATCTCCCACATCTAGCAAATACACAGAGGGACCAAATGTGTCAAGCACAATATATGGACCTTTCCATTTTGGTTTTGGAAATGGGTGGTGAGGGGGAAAAATCTTGCAACATTACTCTGTCTCCATTTTTGAGTGGCCTTATGAGTGCATTCATCGGTAGCACAGAGAGATTTATGTACTGCCAAAATATGCTCTTTCAGACAGGGCCGTCTTTAATAGTGATTGGACCCTGGGCAAGCATTTGCTTTGGCCCCCTTGACCCTGCTGCCCTCCCACTCCCTGGCATGCAATCATGCCTTACACTCCAACCCAGTGGCGGAACTAATGCAGAGAAGCCCTGGTACAAGAAAGTTGTTTGGGCCTCCCCCTCTAGCACAAGAGTGGCGAAAAGATACATCCCCATCTGTCATACAACTCCCACAATGCTATGCCAGCTGGGGATCTATACATTGCCCATCCTTGTAAGGTTGTATTTGTGTGCAGTGTTTGTGCATTTGAATGTAAGCCTGTTTTTGTATAGAGTATATGTGTGCATGTAGAGGTGTATTTGTATGTACTATTACAATTGGAATGCAAAGGTGTACTTGTGTGTAGTGTTTGCGTTTTAATGCAGTGGTGTGTGTTTGTATGTATGGTTGACTTTTAAATGCAGGTGTGCAACTGTGAGTTGGTGTATGCATATCAGTTTGGCATTTTAATACTGGGTTTTGTTTGTATGTAATATTTGCCTTCAGGGTTGTTATAGAATGTAGTGTTGTCTTCTAAACATTTGTGTATAGTATTGGTGTTTGGGTAAAGGGTGTGTTTTATATATAATTTTGAGTTTGAAATCAGGGGTGTGTTTGTCTGTAATGTTTGTGTTATCAGGGATGTGTTTGCATGTTGTTTTTGATTGCTGGGATGTATACACATACACAGTTACATACACATCAACACACATATAAACATACTGACCCATGCACATACCTTGACACACAGATACACACACTGGCACATGCACACAAATTCTGATATGCACACTGGCACATAAACATTCAGATACACACCGACACAGTTACACACACTCTGACATACATGTGATAATTTTTATGTTTGCAGCAGGGCAGGAGCAGAGAGTTGGAGGAGGCACAAAGCTTGTAAATGCTGATGCTGCTGTGGCAAGGCAAGCTGGTACTGTTATATGTAATGCACAACAAAAAAAAGAATACAAAAAAAATACACACCAATTATGTTTCTCATCCTCTCATCACCTGTGCTTAAATGCAACTGCAGCAATAATTAAACTAATCTAAACAGAAAAAAAGCAGTGAGTGGGGGCACATAGTAGAAAGGCAGTGAGTGGGGGCACAGGGTAAAAAAAGCAGTGAGGGAGGAAGGCAGGAGCAGTGAGTGGGGGAAGGCAGGGCAGGGGCAGAGAGTGGGGGCACAGAGAAGAGAAGAAGTAAGTGGGGGAAGGCAGGGCAGGGGCAGAGAGTGGGGGCATAGAGAAGAGAAGGAGTGAGTAGAGGAAGGCAGGGCAGGGGCAGAGAGTGGGGGCACAGAGAAGATAAGAAGTGGGGAAGGCAGGGCAGGGCCAGAGAGTGGGGGCACAGAGAAGAGAAGAGTGAGTGGGGGAAGGCAGGGCAGGGGCAGAGAGAGTGGGGGCCAGGGCAGGGGCAGAGAGTGGGGGCACAGAGAAGTAAGTGGGGAAGGCCAGAGAGTGGGGGCACAGAGAAGAGAAGAAGTAAGTGGGGAAGGCAGGGCAGGGCCAGAGAGTGGGGGCACAGAAAAGAGAAGTGAGTGGGGAAGGCAGGGCAGGGGCATTAAGTGGGGGCACAGATAAGATAAGCAGTAAGTGGGGGCACAGAGAAGATAAGCAGTAAGTGGGGGAAAGCAGGGCAGGGGCATTGAGTGGGGTGGTTTTTCTAAAAACTATCCTAGCTGCAGCCATTCACCCAGAAGGAAAGGATCAGGGACTGGATACACTTACCTTCAACTCAGCTTAGAGCTGGCTGAGGCTGATGGGAGTGGGAATGAGCACCCCCCCATGCTGCTACCTGCTGCTGCCTCCTTCCTCCCGCGGTGCTCTCTTCTGAAGCTGGGAGGAAGTGATCGGCTGTCACTTCCTCCCATCCAGCTAATACTACAGGGGCCCGGTCTGCTCTTCAGAGACACCGATCGGGTGGCCCTAAATGCATGGGCCACCTGATAGGCCCCTCCAAATTGTTGTGGGCCCACAGGGCAGCTGCTTTGGGCCCCCCAGGAGTAACTGGGCCCAGGGCAGCTGCCCCGTTTGCCCTGTGTTAAAGACGGCCCTGCTTTCAGATTTCCAACCCAGGCTTCAGATAATGCTACTGGGTCTAGGGTGGGTGGGAGAGGATTTAGTAAATGTTCCCAAGTTCTCATAGTTCTCCCTAATAAAGCTTCGTAAGGGGCAAACCCTGTTGATTTGCACACTCTGGAACTGTGATGGAATTCCAGTAAAATACAAGTTTAGCAGGCCAAGATTGCCACAAGGCATATGTAGGTACATGTGTTTGTAGTATCAGTTAGTTAGTTACACGTAGCTAAGATACTGTACTGAGCATGTGCAGGAATGCAGGAACTGGAATTACGCGTTCCTCTCCTTTGTTTCAGATGAGCCACGTGGTTAGACCGGATGGATGAGTTTAGACTCTATTCATTGATTAGGTTAAGGGTATGTGTGGGCGTAGCTAATTATGGGAGAAGCTACAGTGCTATATAAGGAATGTACTCTATGTATTCAGTACTCAGATCTTTGCTGTTTTTGGTGACATAAGTCCCTCTGAGTCCCGGTCGGTGAATCGAATAAAGATCTCTTCCTTCCTGAAGAAACCTGTGTCCATCTCTCTGTGCTTGGCCTCCGTCAGTTTCCCGGTAACAGAACGAATAGTTGATAGAACAAATGGTAATTTTTCATCCCAGTCTGTTCCTTGTGAATTCACAACCTTTTTTAATGCATCTTTTACAGTCCTATTCATTCTTTCAACCTGATCAGAAGATTCTGGGTGATAGAATATATGAAACTTGTGAATTATTCCCAGTAAGTTACATGTTTCCTCTATGACATTACTAATAAAGGCTGGTTCACTATCACTGTCCATAACCTTTGGAATTCCCCACCTGCTGAAAATTTCTTTCACAAGTATTCTGGCTGTATTGATCGCAGTACAATTTTTTGTTGAAAATGCCTCTACCCAATGACTAAATGAGTCAACTACCATAAGAATGTATTTATTTTGGTGGACAGTATTCGGTAGTTCACCAGTATAATCAATTTGAATACGTTCCCATGGGTGCCTGTCTCCTTTTCCTGTTAGTAGGATCATGTCTAGCACATTCTAGGCAGGATAGTATGTGATCCTCCATATGTACAATATTTTGGGGCCACCAAGCTACATGGTCTAATCTTTCACTTGCTAACTGGAGCTTTGGGTGCCCTCCTACAGGAGAGCCATGTATCCACGTTAGAATAAATTTTCTCACCCCTTTTGGAGCAAACCAAACTGGAAAATCCTTCCTGTCTGTGACAAGCAGGCCTTCTTTTAAATACAACTCCTGCCCTTCATAGACTATTGGTCCTGCCTCACAAGATTTTCTCAGTGCTCCTATTTCCTTATCTTGTTCTTGTAGTTTAGCCAATTCACCTGTCCTCTCCTTTGTCTCGTTTGCCTGTGCCCTTGTTATAGCAGCTACAGGTATTGAAGTCATTGCTGTTAATAAAGGCCATTCAAGAGCAGCTTCTGCTGCCTCTTTTGCCAGTTTGTCAACTTGGTTATTATGGTGATGTTCTAATGTCTCCTTTCTATGAGACATCTTCCTGATATTGACCTTAACAAAATATTTAGCATTTTTCTCTATGGCTTGCCATAACGACGCATACTTTATCTCACTGCCATCCGTTCCTTTGAAACCCATAATTTTCCACCATGGTAGATACACTGCAGCATCTTTACATACCTGAACTGAATCAGAAACAATATTAACAACACCACTATATTCCTCCATTTTCTTAAGAACTTGCAACAGTGCAGCTATTTCAACATACTGTGCTGACACGGCCTTACACGAAAATGCAAACTGATCCTGAATGTGACCCTCTTTACATATACCAGCAAATCCTGCTATCCTACGACCATCTTTGTAATATGATGATCCATCAATGTACCAACATTCTGTGAGGGGATCAAAGGGTTCTGATATAACTTTGAACACATCATGTTGTAAACTAGCTCCAAAGACTTTACATGTATAAGGTTCACCCTCTATATGGAGCCCTCCCACCAACACACTAGGCTCTTTCAACATCAATCCTTTTATGTTTTCTGATAATAAAGCAGTAGTCCATCTTGCAAGTCTTTTACATCACTTTCTTTCCATTTTCCATTTGCTAGCAAAACTAAAGGAGTATGGTGACTAGCAATTACAACAGTCTGAGTCCCAGTTAAATATGTGAATTTGTTTATTGCCCAATAGCAACATAATACCATTCTAGTGCACAAAGGATACTTTTGTTCCACTTGTGTCAACAACCTTGATGCATAAGCTATAGGTCTTTGTTTTCCAAAACACTCTTGAGTCAAAACAACTGACAATGATGTGGGGCGAACATGTGGATACATCTGCAATTCTTTATTTGGATCAGGGGCAGCTAAAGTTGGGGCGTTTCCCAATGCATGCTTTAGAGTCTCTATAGCCTGTGTATGCCCTGCCTCCCATTTCCACTCATTATTTTTCAAAAGATCATATAAGCACACTGTCATTTCTGCATACTGAGGAACAAAGTCTCTGCAAAATCCAGTCATACCAAGAAATTGCCTTAAGCAACGTTCATCTGTAGGTAGAGGAATTTTCCCAACTCTACTCTTTGTTCATTAATACTTTGCCCTGACTTCCCTATGGTAACACCAAGAA